GGGGCAGTGCGGCCAGATGGGGCGGTGCAGCCAGGAGGGGACAGTGCGGCCAGCAGGGGGGTGTGGCCAGGAGGGGACAGTGCGGCCAGCAGGGGGGTGTGGCCAGCAGTGTTGCCTGTGGGTCGTGCGCCGCGTGGATGCTCAGAGGCATGGCTCGCTCGTCTGCTGGAATCCCCTTGGGTCACATCCCTCATTTATGTCTCCCTCTGTGGAGAGCCACTCCACAGGCCTGGGGGTCGGGAGTGTTCTGGTTGTCTTGACTTGCTGTTCTGTGGGGCTAGGCCGCTCGCTGGACGCTGGAGCGTTCAGGATGGTCACCAGGTCTAGCTGGGCAGAGGCTGGAGCTCTGAGGGCTCAGAGCCTGAGACTGGCAGTGCCCTGTGCGGCCACCAGGTGGCGCGTGAGGCCCGTGGACAGGCAGCACAGAGCAGCTCAGGCAGGAGGGAGCCTGGCCAAGGCCGAGGCAGCCGCCTGGGCCCTGAGGCCTTGTAGGTGTGAGATGCTGCTGCCCTGGGCCCCGTTCTCACGTGGGCTTTCCTGTCCTGTCCTTTGCTTTTGCACGTGTGCACATGGGACACAGGGGTGGAGGGGGCGGGTCCTCTCCTTCCCCAGCCCTCCCCGGCTGGTCCCAGCATCTTCCTGCAGAGATGCCCGTGCACGCGCCATACTCACCTTCAGTGGAGACCCAGCTTCACGCTGGCAGACACGTTGCAGGAACAGTGCTGCGCCAGACCCGTTTCCGTGGTCTCTGTGGCCCTGACCCCTGAGAACGTCACTGTGTGTCTCCTCAGGACAAAGACTTTCTCTCGGTCCCAGTGACATCAGTCAGGACGTGTAACATCGATGGGCATGTTGTCTAGTCCGCGGGCCACGTTCACTGGACCATTGTCCCCGTGATGTCCTCTCCTCTTCCTTCTGGTCTGGAATCGGGGACAGCGTGGTGTCTGCCGTCACCTCGCTCGCCTCCGTGACCCTGGAGCAGCGCTGCTTGCGGTGTGGTCTCGGCCTGACATTCTGAAGAGCACAGGCCCCTCGGTGTGGGGGGTCCCGCGTCCTCTGGTGACACGTGGGCCAGTCATTTGTGTCCTCGGTGGTCGTAGCACCGTGAGCTGGCGTGTCCAGTGGTGACAGGCCCATTGGGTCACGTGGCTCAGGCGATGCCTCAGGCTCCAGGGGCCAGCTGTCCTTTCCCTCTGGGGTTCAGAAGGGTCTTAGAGACACGGTGGGTGCGTTGACATGATGTATTTTCTGTCCCCACGAGCAGTGTGTTTCCCTCCGGTCTTGGAGGTGCCAGCTCCGCGCGTGCCCCACGGGCCTGGCACGCCCGCTCCTCCTGGTGGGCACGCGGGTGACACGGACTCTGTTGTTGCTGCACCTCACCTGCCGTCTCGCCCGGTGCTGGAGGCGTCCCAGGTGTCCCCAGGTGGCTGGCGGGGAGGGGCAGCTTGAGAACTGGGCGGGCGTCTGACCACCAGCGAGGAGGGACGGCCTGCGCGCAGGACTCGGTGCTCCCGCCTCCCAGTCACGTGTGGTTTGAGCGTGTGCGGTAGCCACCAGCACACTCTGCCCTACAGGTGGTGTCAGCTTCCTCACCGGGGACCGTGATCTTGAGCCGGTGGCTGACCCACTCCTCTGTGGGCACAATAGCAGCTCTAGGTGCAGAGTACCGCACACAGGGCCAGGGGTGCCAGCACACAGTAGGCAGCACACAGGGCCAGGGGTGCCAGCACACAGTAGGCACTCAGGAAAGGTAGTCGGTTTTTCTTGTTTCCATTTGCATTGGCCTGGCCCTGCAACTTGACTCCACAGTGTGGACAGACACGTCGCTGTGAGGCGTTGGCACGTCAGGCGGTCTGCAGGGACTTCCTGGGCGTGCGTGGTGGCTTCTGACGGGCCAGGAGCGAGGCGGCGGAAGCCAGGCTGCCCGATGGGAGTCCCGTTCTGGGCCAGGCTCTGCGTCCTGAGCGAGTCTCCTCGCGGTGTTGAAAAAAAAATATATTTTATTGATTTTTTTACAGAGAGGAAGTGAGAGATACAGAGAGTCAGAAACATCAATGAGAGAGAAACATCGATCAGCTGCCTCCTGCACACCTCCCACTGGGGATGTGCCCGCAACCCAGGCACATGCCCTTGACCGGAATCGAACCTGGGACCCCTCAGTCCACAAGCCGACGCTCTATCCACTGAGCCACACCGGTTTTGGCGGGGCCACTTTTGGAAACCAAAGTGACACCTAAGAGAGAGCTTTACGGCCACGCGGAAAACGCGAGGCTGAAGGTAACACTCCACACCAGGTTCTTCGTTCGGTTGGCGGGATTATGGGTTTTTCTTCAGAATTCTATTTAGCCGTCATGTCTAACAACAAAAAGCTGAACCCACCTCTTTCAGAGTTCAGCAGTTACTGGGCTTTATTTAGTGGCAGGAGAAATTACAGGCAGTACGTTGCCGCCTTTGTAAGGCACGTACATACAGTAGCTTCAAGGATGGCGGAAGCATTATCTTCACGTTACGTGGAAGACGTAGTGGCAGGTGTCTGCCGTGGGGAGCACGCAGCCAGGTGAAGTGCCCAGAAACGCTCCCCCCCCCCCAGTGCGTTCTGTCCCGCAGGCGCCGCGTCTGTGCGGCCTGTGTGCTGGGAGCTGGGGATGGAAGTGGCAAACGCAGGGGCAGCTCCTCCTGCAGACTCACGGTTCACTCATCACACGCTGCTGCTCAGCCCTGGCTGGTTTTCTCAGTGGTTAGAGCGTTGGCCTGCGGACTGAGGGTCCCGGGTTTGATTCTGGTCAAGGGCTCATGCCTGGGTTCTGGGCTTGACCCCCACCTGGTCCAGCGCAC